AATAACAATGCACAATAGTATAACTCCTGTCAAACTTTCATCATATGTCTGCCTAATATTCTGGAAGGATGTTATTAGGTGTCTGTCAGAGTATGTTTAACATTAAGGTCCTTTTGAACGTCAACATTTGTGTACTTGGAACATATCCAAAGGATTTCAAACAGACTTCCAAACGGACCAAGCTTCTGGATTTTGGCCTTTTTCAAGCCAGGAGGGCTATCGCTTTATGTTGGAAAAGTACGGATTGGTAGTAGTAGTAATAGCAGCAGTAGTAGTTGTGGTAGTAAATCGACTTGATAATGAAGAAAATTAACACATTTGTTGCAATAGTAATTTATGCACTAACTACATTACTACTTGTACTACAACATTTGAATCATCAGGTCTTCCTCATTTTCCTCAATTGTTCATATTTGGTTTATTAAAATAATGATATTGTGGTCATTGTTAAAGAATGTCTGCTATTATTATGAGTATTATTATTTGTATAATGCACTTTCTGCCTTCCTGTCATTAGGAGTTAGAAATGTAATGGCTATGTAATAGATTAGAACCTTCATTCTCCTAAACTGCTGGGACATTTCCCTATAGCCAATACCTTTTATATTTTCTACTCTTCACTTACTTGTCAGCATAGGTCGGCATTGATGTATAGAGCCGACAGAAGACCTTGTTTATATTGGCATCATATTGAGAGGTGCAGTGACGCGTCCTAAACCAGGAAGTATAAACTGCTGGTTCCCTCGACAAAAAGCAATGGGATTTCTCCACAGGGTTTTGGAAAATAGCTGGAAATAAGGTCTGTGGAAAACAAACCTGTTTGATAAATGCACGTTTTGTTCAGCCGGATAATCTCCACATGTCTACCCTACTTTTATAATTTTCGAATCATAAATCTAATCGATAGATTATAAAAGGGTTTTAGGACGCGTCACTGCACCACTAGAAGCCAACTCCATCGATCAAGCTGGCTGAAACGTTCTCTCCCTCTTCTTCTCATGCTCCCTGTCACTCTCCTTTAACTCCTCCGGTGACTTTCTTTTATTTAAAGATAGTTTTTTGCCCGGCGCTTGGCCGGTTACCGCTGGTATTAAAAACATTTTGGCAAAGGTGGCGCGATAGTCTGTAGTGAAGGAGCGCGCTCTCGCTCACGGGAGCCTGCTCGCGCTGCGCTCCGCAGCAAACAGCTGTTTGCTTTTCACCCAACAACGACAACCGACTCAAAAAACGCTATGTTGTAGCGTTGATAAACGAAACAATTTAACTAAATTGCTATTCAAAGCAATATTTTTAGTGGCCCGAGCGGGCAAGAGGAAAGTACGTTATGTTGGCCCGTGGTGTCTAAGTAGTGCTTCCGAGCCATATTAATAGTAGTAGCTTGTAGTAGTAGTAGTAGTAGTAGTAGTAGTAGTAGTAGTAGTAGTAGTAGTAGTAGTAGTAGTAGTAGTAGTAGTAGTTGGTTGAAGGAACTTTCTGGTAGTGTTGGTGTAGGAAGACTGACATTTTGTCGGTCGAACGCACTTATTGTAAGTCGCTTTGGATAAAAGCTTCAGCTAAATGCAATGTAATGTAACATACATCGCTAAGGGCAAGCGGAAGGACTTTCTTCAGCTCTGGGAGCCGTTTATGCACATTATGAGGGACTGCCTCTGAAAGGAAACTGTGAAATTACATTGTTTTACTTTATTTGTAGGCCTAAGCTTTTAATACTGGTGCAAGTTGATGGTGTGAGTATGCGTATGTCTGTGATGTACATGGTTTTTGGTTGTTGTTCAATAAGAAAATACCAATAAACATATTGTGAAAAAAACAAACAAGGCACAATAGTTCCCCTAAAACAGCCACACTCACCAGGGCGAGGTCAGAGGAGGGGAGAGCGTAGCTGAACGGATCCGTCCCTCCGTCCTGAGAACCAAACGGATCCGTCTCCACGATGGCGTTCACTTTGCCTCCAAACGGGTCGGAGTCGCCCCTATTGTTCCCCGTGGATCTGAACGGGTCAGTTGAAGCTGTGTTGGGAGGTTTGGAGCTGAAAGGATCTGGATCAGCTGCTGGAGCCGAGTCAGAGGGTTTGGATGCAAACAGGTCGGGTTCTGGGACTCCAGTGGTCGTACCGAAGGGGTCCGCTGAGGCAGAGAAAGGGTCTTCTGAGGAGAAGGGGGCGCTGGAGGCCTGGCAGAAAGAGTCCGCTGCAAACGGATCGGATCCTTTAAACGGATCTTCTCCAAATGGATCTGGTTTAAGAGAAGAAGCAACAGAAACAGAACGTTTGAAAGGGTAGATCATGCATTTCCTTTTTGAGGATTTCCCAGACATGAAGGAGATTAGTTTGCCTATTTATCACTTTTAAATATACAGGTTTAACTTCGATGACTCACCTGGAACTTCTGTCTTTCCAAACGGATCATCTTTGAATGGATCGTCTATGAGGAACAAAAAAAAACAATATAGGGATTTAATTTGAAGACGATATAAAAACGGGTTTGAGAAAACATCCTAACCTATTTGTTCGATTGTTTTTATTAAAGAAAATGGGTTGCATTATATACATTTGAATCCTCCAATCCATCAAGTATAACATAAAAAACAAGCAGATTTAGTGGAAACTAGTAACGTAAAGAACACTTCGTACAATACAGTACATTTAATTAAATCTGTAGGTAAACCTCAATATGAAGTTTGAACTGAAATGCATGCCTTTGAGGCTTTTGTGGGCCGAGTGCAAACCTGTTAATCATACTGTTTGATCAACATCTTGAAATGCTAAATAACAGCTTTTTACAAACCGGTGTCCCAAGAATTGAGAAATAAGACTTGTGTGCATAAAAAAAGTCTAAGATCTTCCATTTCAACTTGTAAAAAAAGGGGCGCATAATTATACTTTATAGATTAGCGTTTATTAAAGATTCAAAGGTTTTATTGTTATATGATAAGATAAGAAGTACTTAATGTTTGTGTTGCAGCTGCATAACAAAACAAGGCATTTTACAATACAAATGAAAAGACTAGAAATAAACAAGAAAAATATACATGTTAGCAGCGTTTCCGCCAGGGGGGCGTCTTGCCGTCATTTGCCGCCCTTATTCAGCTCGGAACGCCCTGAACTCGAGCCGAGGGCGTCCAAAAAGAATAATAATTCGAGAGAAGATCAAGTTTTTATCGCTTGAAATGACGAAAAGGAAAAAGGACAAGGACATCCCTCTGTTGGAGGGGCAAAGGAGTTTGGTGGGATTATTTTCGCCGCCAGCAAAGCGCGTTCCTGTGACGGAAAGTGTACTGCCGGCGAGCCTTGACGGGGGTTGCTAGTGGAGCACGCGCGTGAACTGCGAGCACCGGAGCCTCGCAGCGGCAAAACTGAGGCTCTGTGGTAACATGAAGAGCCGTTTGGGAGCCGAAAGAGCCGGCTCTGTATTCTCCATGACACAGACAGTCTGTGGTTTGTACTTGTTTCACTTCTGTCTAGTTTCTGAACAGATATGAGGAGCTGTGAGCTCTGAGGGCTAACAGCTAACGGCTGATGTTGGTTCTGTGGTTCTCATTGAAGATGACGTCATGGCTCCGCCTACACTGCGTTACTATAGTTACTGCCCCAGCTACTGAACTGTAATGGAAACGCAGCATGAAGTGAGCCTGGCCTACCAAGGCCTAACGAGGCCTAGTCATACCGTAC